TGGAGTTATTTGGAAGAGTGGAGATGCCTCTGAGTATAATGACAATGGAGCCGAAAAATAGCCTCACTCTCACTCGAAGATATCTTCGCGGAGTCCACCATCATCATCAGCATCATCATCATCATCATCATCATCATCATCATCATCTACTCGAATGGAGTTATTTGGAAGAGTGGAGATGCCTCTGAGTATAATGACAATGGAGCCGAAAAATAGCCTCACTCTCACTCGAAGATATCTTCGCGGAGTCCACCATCATCATCAGTATCATCATCATCATCATCATCATCATCATCATCATCATCATCATCTACTCGAATGGAGTTATTTGGAAGAGTGGAGATGCCTCTGAGTATAATGACAATGGAGCCGAAAAATAGCCTCACTCTCACTCGAAGATATCTTCGCGGAGTCCACCATCATCATCAGCATCATCATCATCATCATCATCATCATCATCATCATCTACTCGAATGGAGTTATTTGGAAGAGTGGAGATGCCTCTGAGTATAATGACAATGGAGCCGAAAAATAGCCTCACTCTCACTCGAAGATATCTTCGCGGAGTCCACCATCATCATCAGCATCATCATCATCATCATCATCATCATCATCATCTACTCGAATGGAGTTATTTGGAAGAGTGGAGATGCCTCTGAGTATAATGACAATGGAGCCGAAAAATAGCCTCACTCTCACTCGAAGATATCTTCGCGGAGTCCACCACCATCATCATCATCATCATCATCATCATCATCATCATCATCATCATCTACTCGAATGGAGTTATTTGGAAGAGTGGAGATGCCTCTGAGTATAATGACAATGGAGCCGAAAAATAGCCTCACTCTCACTCGAAGATATCTTCGCGGAGTCCACCATCATCATCAGCATCATCATCATCATCATCATCATCATCATCATCACCATCATCATCAGCATTGCTTTTCTCACCATGTATTAAGGTAAAGGCCACCGGCAAACACTTTCCATCTTTCCTTATCCTGGACTAGCCTCTGGATATTTTTACTGGATGATTACCCCACCATCATGTGGATGATAGGTGTGTGGACATTCTTACTTAGATAATCTTACTGGATCTCTATTCCGACCAAAGTATGTGGATAATAGGTTTTTGGATAATCTTACCGGATGATTATTCCGACCAAGGTGTGTGGATATCTTACCTGAAGTACCCGGAGATGTCATTTCTGACTCAGAGGTTGACGTGTAATGACCTTTGTGTCACTCTCGCGAGCTGCCGTTCCACATTCTGCTACACCCAAGCCAGTCCGTGTGTTCATGTTGTCCATCCTAATGACCTTTTTTCTATTCTTGGTTGTCCTGCCCCACATCCTTACTGGATAATTTTTCCAACCAAGGTATGTGGATTATCTGACTGGATGATTATTCCAACCCAGGTATATGGATAATTTTACTGATTGATTGCTCAGATTAAGTCATGTGCATACTCTTAAAATGTAAAGATGTTCACGCATCCGATCCGGACATTGGGGATTGCCATGTTAGCGAGGCAACTTCCTGGGCCTCCGGCATATTGTGGTATGGTGGCCATCTATCTTTCAGGGTGCTTTTTCCGACTATGGTATGGGGATAATATTACTGGATGATTCTTCCCCATCAAGGTACGTAGAGAGATAATCATACTTGATTATTATTCCAACCGAGGTATGTAATAATTTCTATAAGGCCCCATCTCGTACAATACAGACCTAGGTGCTCTACAATACCTTCATCTCAACACAATATACACAGGTCAATGAACATACTACGCCCTTTCGATGAACTCTTATGCATGACCGGACATTCATACTATCGCAGTAAATCAATGAAAATATTCACATCACTTTATTAATATGAGAGTGCTTTGAGAAAGAAGGATTAACTAGAAAGGACTAAAAAGAGAGAGAAGGAGAAGATGAGAACGAGAGAGAGAGAGAGAGAGAGAGGCGGGGAGAAAGAGATAGGGAGAGAGAGAGAGAGAGAGAGAGAGAGAGAGAGAGAGAGAGAGAGAGAGAGAGAGAGAGAGAGAGAGAGAGAGGGGGGGAGAGCTTTTGTGTTCTCCAGCGAGTTACAGAGGAATAAACATGCTACTATTGCTATTATAACCATGTCTTTTTTAAAATTACATTATGGCTACACGTTGAAAGTTGTTGTTGTTGTTGTTGTTGTTGTTGCTGCTGTTGTTGTTGTTGTTGTTGTTGTTGTTGTTGTTGTTGTTGTTGTTCTTCTTCTTCTTCTTCTTCTTCTTCTTCTTCTTCTTCTTCTTCTTCTTCTTCTTCTTCTTCTTCTTCTTCTTCTTTGTTTTCCTTTATGATTACGATTATTGTTGTTATTATTATTATTATTATTATTATTATTATTATTATTATTATTATTATTATTATTATTATTATTATTATTATTATTATCATTCTTAATATTATTATTAATATTATTATTATTATTATCATCATCATCATCATCAATTTCACATATTATTATTCCTCTTCGTGCAGCTCACTTGAAGAGGCCCCTGGAAGCTTACGTTCAGCGCATGCCCAAGGTTCGTCTGCTGAGAGCGAGAAAGAGGCTGGGACTGATCATGGGCAGGAACGAGCTGTTCCAACAGTCTAGGGGGGACATTGTGGTCTTCCTAGACTCCCACATCGAGTGTTTCCCAGGTGAAGATAACCACAGTCTGACCTGCTTTAGCGGCCAACTTGATAAGACAATCACCTGCACAAACGACCACCTTAACAAGACAATCACCTGTACAAAGTGATTGGAAACTGCAAATTTACATTTATCGAGACTTTGATCGAAAGTTTTCAGTAAACCACATAAACATTTTTTAAAGTGAACACTTGATGTTCTCAGATTAAAAAAACCCAAAACAAAATAAAAAATGCTCGAGGGGTGGAACAATGTCATCCTCGATTTCATTATTTTGACGTGCGCCTGATTTCCCCACAATGTGAATCATGTATGATACATTATGATATGCAAATCACTCTGAGATCGTTTCGAGAAAGATGCAAAGAAAAAAAATCCAGCTGAACTTAAGCATGTTTATACTACCGAGTTTTGGTAATTTGTAAAGCTTTCATTATTTCATTCAAACGCCATGGTTTACAAGCGCCGTAAAACCTTTGTCAAACTAAATATTCCCCCCAAATGCTGCGTTGTATCATCATACAAATAGCTCTAATAATAATAATAATAATAATAATAATAATAATAATAATAATAATAATAATAATAATAATAATAATAATAATAA